TGGAGCTCTGTCAGGTGCAGACTCCTCTGATGGAGCTCTGTCAGGTGTAGACTCTGCTGATGGAGCTCTGTCAGGTGTAGACTCCTCTGATGGAGCTCTGTCAGGTGTAGACTCCACTGATGGAGCTCTGTCAGGTGTAGACTCCTCTGATGGAGCAGGAGCCGGGAGGCTTGGAGGGTTTAATGTGGAGTTTAGAGATGAACCGTCACGCGCTGAAATACGTTCTGGATAAAATACAGTGAGAAACGGGACCGGAGGACAGTTAGCATTTATGCAAATTAGCTTAGCATCGTAGCACCGACGTTGTCCTATTATGGCGTCAGCCTCTTTTGTTAGTTAAAAATATGTTCAGAACCGATGGGATGAGTAACTTAAAATATGTTTAAAGTTAGAAAACACTCACCATCTTCTATAAATGGTTCAAGTAGAGCAGTAGTCGTGTCCAAACCACCCTCCAATCCTCCATCTAGCTCGCTTTGACTTTTTTCGTCGGCCACCAAGCACAACAACACCTGCACTTCTGCATTTGACCACAGCTTTGATATTATTGTTGTTGTATAGCTTCAAAATACTAAAAGATACGCTCCTCGAGTTATCGCTAATGGCAAGCGGTAGAGAAAAAATGGTGGATCGGGTTGTTTGGAAAGACTCCACAGGCTCCTCCCCCCGACCAATCAGTGACCGACAGTGTTTCTGACGTCATGGCTCAGCTTGCTTGGACCCCTTGAGAAGCCGGGCCAGAATTTAGGGAGGCGAGCCGGTCACAGGAACAGTGGAAAGACCTCAAACGCGCAAAGCCGGAAATATCCGACCCGCGCCGTGACAGTGGAAAAGGGGCAAAACTGACAACCAGGTATCTGTGTGTGCAACAAGCATCATCCACACCCTCAGAGTGAACATTTTCTACAGCTGGAGACACCATCAGCCAGGAGAGGGCTTGTTTGTATCCAGAGAAAACAGACATGTTGTTTCTGATGAAAACCTGTTCAGTGAAAAGGTCCTCAGTGTGTAGCAGTGAGCATTAGACACTGACGTGTCACTTGTTGTTTGCAACTGTTCTTTTGAAATGGAAATTATTTGTTTATTTTAATATAAGAAAACTGCTTGGAATAGAAAAATACCAAAGTTAAAAAACAAAACTCACAATACGTACTGTAATGTGTAACGTAATTTTATTCTTGTTAGAATTAATATTAATTACAAAATTGGTACCGAAAAAAGAACCGTCCAGGAACCGACACCGGTACCGATTTTTTTTAGAAAGGTACCCAGCCCTACTCTTAACAGAAATGATGGCTGTTCAAGAAGAGGTATTATTTTATTATTATTATCTAATTAACTTTTTTTTTTATTATAATCTTACTAACTCATTAAAAAAAAAAAATTTATTACCTCTTTGTGTTTTATTTCTAGTCTGGGACAGAGATAGCAGCTGAGTCTTCTCCCTCTTCAGGGAGATCAGAAATCACCTCCAGCTAAGAAGTCTGTGATGAGTGAACTCTGAACTTTTCAGAGGTTGTGAGTAATGAGGCCAAATACAGTTACACTGCAAAATGAGCAGTGCGCTACCTCTTTATTCCTGCTACTGTTGTTAGTGAGCGGTTTTCTCCACCGCTGGAGATGATGTCACTGCAACTAGATCGGAGCTTTTGGCAGAAAATGTGGACAAGTTTGTCTTTTTGGCCAAAAACTTAGAACTTGATTAGTTCGATTGTAAACGGTCTGTTGCTGCTTATTGTTCTTGTTCTGTTATTGGATTTATGAAGATTTTTATTATTGTTAGAATAGTTTATTTATTGTAAAGAGTGCAGTTTATTTAAAATATCATCCAAATGGGTTGCTTTTATTTTTATACAAACATATTGTTTACTTGGCATATTTTCAAAATAAACATTTTGTAAGTCTTTATTTTGGCCTTTTTTGTACCGAAACTGAACCAAACCGAAATGTGATTTTAGCGTACCATTACACCCCTGCTGGGGAGCACTTTAAGAAGAGCAGCACACACAAAAAATATAAATAAAAGCACAGTACAAAATTAATTAATTTAAAATAGTTTTAAATGATTTAGCACTGGCAGTAGCAGGTTGGGGCAACTGGCCATTTGGAGCATCAGGACATTTTCCGGTGGACTGGACGTTCACTGAGGGTCGTCCTGGATTATTTAAAATAAAGCTGCTCATGCAGCACGGATTGTTTATTTAAACTATTACAACACAGTATTTAAATTATAATAGTTTATTTACACAGAAGGAGGGAGATTGGGAGTGATGAGCACGAGTGTGACTGCAGCAGGTGAGGAAGTGGGCGGGGCAGAGCCGCAGGTGGCAGAGAGCAGAGATCATGACACGCTGTTCTGTTTTATTAGAGCATTTAGAAAATTGTTAGGAACATTGCAAAAGTGTGGGAAGGGTTTAAAATGCCAATATATACCTGTATATAAATACTAAAATAAACAACTACTATTTGTGTATAGGCACGTCATGATAACACATTTTTCTGGGCGATTGTCCAAATAAAACAACTAAATGAACAAGTTATTAAACATTAAAATCCCTCAAACTAGCTCCACACACATCCAGTTATATTCCCGGATTAACACAAACTGCATCTAGCAGGACTTTCCTGGACTTGTCTCCTGGTTAAACCTCCATCCTGCCCTGCAGCTGCAGCTCCTACCTGTTGTGTGCAGGTGTGTGTGAGGTTTCCAGCTGATGTCCAGCAGTCTGCGCTGACGATCGATCTCTTCCTCGTACCGGACGATGGTTTTTTCAAACTCTGTGAATATTTCTTCAGCAGCAGCAGTTAGTCGCTCGCTGATAAACTCTCTCAGAGACTGAACTGAAGACATTGTTGCTGCACACACTCAACACATTCACCTCTCACACAAACAGACACACAAACCAGGACAATGCGGAGAGAGCTGAATACGCTAACCCTGATAGCTTAGCTACTTCCGCTCTGGTGTTCACACTATTGTGTTCCGGCAGAAAACAGGATACGTGCCCGTTTGCATAAAGAAAAAAAAAAAGTATAAAATATTAGTTCACGAAAAAAAATCGTGGTCTACTTCATTCTACTTAATTCGACCAAAAATCTTCAATTTCTAAACTTATTTACTATTTTGCCTGCTTGTTCAAACGAATCAGTAATTTTATTATTCAAGTTTAGAAAATTACATATTTAATTTTATTCTGTGAGCAGCAGTAATGCTGATGGAGAAGTACAGAGAGGGTCAGAAAGAACTCCATTGTGTCTTTGTGGATTTAGAAAAAGCACATGACAGAGTACCAAGAGACGAGGTGTGGTATTGCATGAGGAAATCTGGAGTGGCAGAAAAGTATGTTAGACTGGTACAGGACATGTATTAGGACAGCAGGACAGTGGTGAGATGTGCTGTAGGAGTGACAGATAGCTTCAAGGTGGAGGTGGGAGTGCCTCAAGGATCGGCTCTGAGCCCCTTCTTGTTTGCTCTGGTGATGGACCGACTAGCAGATGAGGTCAGGCAAGAATCCCCATGGACGATGATGTTTGCAGATGACATTGTGATCTGTGGTGAGAACAGGGAACAGGTGGAAGAGAACTTGGAGACGTGGAGATATGCACTTGAAAGAAGAGGAATGAAAGTCAGCCGTAGTAAGACAGAGTCCATGTGTGTGAATGAGAGGGAGGAGGTGGAACAGTGAGGCTACAAGGAGCAGAGGTCACAAAGGAGCAGGACTTCAAGTACTTGGGGTCCACTGTCCAGGAAAATGGGGAATGTGGTAAATAAGTGAAAAAGAGAGTCCAGGCAGGATGGAGTGGATGGAGAAAAGTTTCAGGAGTGATTTGTGACAAAAGAGTGTCAGCAAAGGTCAAAAGAACTGGGAGATAAAGTTAGGGAGGCCAGACTAAGACGGTTTGGACATGTCAAGAGGAGGGACCATGATTATATTGGTAGAAGGATGTTAGAAATGCAGCTTCCAGGAAAAATACAAATAGGAGATATATGGATGCAGTTAGAGAGGACATGAAGGTAGTTGGAGTGAGGACAGAGGATGCAGAGGACAAAGTGAGGTGGAGGAGGAGGACTCGCTGTGGCGTCCCCTGAAGAGGGAAAAGCCAAAAGAAGAAGAAGAAAGAAGATTTAATAATTTTATTATTTATTTATACTGGGAACGCAATATTTTTTGCACTGTGCTTGATTAACTTTTAAAATTCACCTCACAAACCAAAACAGCCAAATAAAACAAGACTTGTTACATGCAGAACTTATCAGATTACACTGCAGTTGTTGGGTGTGTGAAGGATGGAGGAGAAAGAGTACAGAATCCTGGTTGAGGACTTTGCAGTGTGGTGTAAATCCAATTATCTACAGCTGAACATCAGTAAAGCAAAGGAATTAAGAAGGTCTGGGCCTACTCTGAAGCTAATCTCAATTGAGGGGTCGATGTGGAGGTGGTCAGGACCTACAGATATCTGGGCATACAACTGGATGACAGGCTGGACTGGTAAGCAAACACGGACTCCCTCTACAGGAAGGGTCAGAGCAGGCTTGGGGCTTTAGTATCTGCAGGAAACTACTGCTGATGTTAACAACAAAGTCCATGCTCAATAATCCAGGTATACAATCCAACATTTTTCAGTCAGGTCATCTGGACAGTTTCTTTTTTTTTTTTGTGCTGAAACGTTTCGCCTTC